AATTTTGAGCTGTCCATAACCTGTATCCAGCCATCCAAAACCATAATATGTCCAACAAATCAATTAAACAGCTGCAGCTGATCCAGAACGCTGCTGCTCGCGTTCTCACTAAAACCAGGAAGATAGAGCACATAACACCAGTTTTAAAGTCCCTCCACTGGCTCTCTGTAGCTCAAAGAATAGATTTTAAAATACTGTCGTTAGTTTACAAATCACTGAACAGTTTAGCACCACAATACATTAAAGATCTGCTGTTGTTGTATCAACCTTCCTTTAAATTTTTCTGTAAGACTCAGTAGTTGGTACAATATCCTCAAACAGCGGTTTAGGTCATACAGTAATAAACTCATAATAGCATTATTCAGTTTTTGCTGACTTATCAGCTTATTTATTATTAGCTCATTTATTTATCCAATAAACAAATCTACTATTCTTCACCATCCACAAGGTGCAGTTTTGGATTTAAATCAACTCACTTTGGAGGCCATTGAAGTTGTCATGTTCAAGAGCCAATTTGAAATGAACAGATGTTTTCAGCATGGGGTATTAAACAATCTGAAGAACCAATCAGACGATGTGTACACTGGTCTTAGAGGGACAGACGTGTCACATTTTCACATTGTGAGAAGTTACAAAATATTGGATATTAGTAGTTCAAAGATATGAGTAGTTGAAGATTCTGGCTTCCATAACAAACTTGTGGACAAATTAGAAAAAAAAAAAAAAATCATATATATATATCTATATCTATATATCTATATCTATATATCTATATCTATATATATATATATCTATCTATATATATATATATATATATATATATATATATATATATCTATATATATCTATCTATATATATATATATATAATATATATATATATATATATATATATATATATATGTTAAATAAGGCACACACACACACACACACACACACACACACATATATATATATATATATATTATATATATATATATATATATATATATATATTATATATATAATATATATATATATATATTATATATATATATATATATATATATATATATATATATATATATGCAGGCATGCTTTATATATATATATATATATATATATATATATATATATATATATATATTATATATATATATATATATATTATATATATATAATATATATATATATATATATATATAAAGCATGCCTGCATAGAGTACTGTTCACTTTATTATTTGTCTCCCCTTTATATTATTTACAGTGAAACAAAGCAATTTATGCAGTTTAAGGATCCCGTAGACCACATTTGTGTCATTGTCCTGTTCTGTGATGTAACTCCTGTCAGTGATTCAGCTTGCTCTCTACTCAAATGATATGTCCTCAACTGGATGGCACATCTGTGTCTTCCCTGACACAGAGGAGTGGTTTCTGTCACAGTGTCGGCCGTCTCCATCCACAGGCCCTGAGCCATTGCTCTGAATCATGCTTGTCTTAGATGTGGTGGCTGCCACTGATTAGAGATGATGTGTTCGCTTCATAGTCCAGGCAGCCAGATGCTAAAATCCATTTGATTAGTGCCTTATTTTGCAAGGCGTAGGATCTGTTAGCTTGTCTTCTTGGCAAGGGGGCTGTATGAGCAGGTGGACATTGCTGTCTTTCTGTCTGTTTAAGAGGTCCATCATCTCGGCTGTAGAATCTTGCTGTCAGGAAGAACATCTTTTCTATTTATTTATTTTTTTTTTATGAGAAAGCAAGTCTGGCTAATTGTCAGTAATGGATGTTATTAGCTCAGCAGTGTGCCAGAAATTGTGGCAGTATGTTAACTGATTCATTAGAGTAATGTTTAAACTTTGACTAAGTGGAGTTCAAAGAGAACAAAATGTTTCTTTTGTCTTCAGTAATAATCCTTTCTCTATATATCTTGCCAGTGCTTAGCTAGCTTAGTTAAACAGTCCAGATAGCAAGTAAGAGTAATCTCTCGTCAGATTTCAGATTAAGCTTCATGTTTAAGTTACACATTTGCAATGGCTCTTTCAGGTGTACACTCTCATACAAAAATGTCAGCAAAGTAGAGGTGGTTCTTGTGTGAATGTCGCCTTACACCTCATCCTTCTGTGAGCAAACACACAACCTCACATGCCATGTTTGGGCAGAAAGTCATATTGCCTACATAAAAAAACTTAACGGAAACACAAAATAATCTGTCAGGTGGAGATTTACTTTAAAAAACTGCAATAACCTGTTGGTACAAGTGATGACACCCTTAAATTGAAGCTTTTTCACTAAATTTCAGCATTCGTCTTCCTTTTAAGAATTCTACCAGGAGAGACATTATTTGTCAAACCCACCTTATAAAGATTTCTATAAATTTCTACCTTCGTACTGTGAGGACATGCATTGTCCACAAATCCCTCCTGATGATGACACACATTTTCTGTTTGACTTTAGTCTGGACTCAATTCATTTTTTTTTTAATGAAGTCATTCCTTTGTAGATTCAGACTTGTGATTGTACTCAGTATGAAGGGGATGTGTACTTCTAACAACCAGGTTATTGTATCCTCTTATGCTGCCAGATATTTGTGTTTCAGTTGATTTGTGAAGAATTTGTCACACTAAAGGTGAAAGAAGTTAAGCAATGATTAATCATACTCAATTTGGTTTTAGTCTCAAAATTCTAATTTGTAACAGAGTGGGCACACTTTATAGAGCAACTGCAGGCCAACAAAAGTAACTTTGCTGCAGCAAAGCTTTAAATCCATAATTAGCACAAAGATTATGGCTATTTCTTCAGCCAGAGTGCTCCATCATAGGTTTCTTCCAACTATCTTGAGTTGGACTTGTTTATACCTCATTCAAATCGATCCATAACTCCTTTCCATCTGTAGTTCTGATGGCCTCAAAGAGATGAGAAAATTTATGCAGTTATAGCCTTTGGCCTAATTAGGCTCCAAATACTACGTTCTAGTAAGTTGTTCAGATTTTTTTTTTTTGATGTGCAAAAGGACCATCCACAATTATTTGGAGAAGGTGGCAACCTGCTTTTTAAAGTTATGATTTTGTATTTCTACACAGGACTCAAGTGTGTTTGAATTTAGCTTAGAGAATATTTTTTTTTAATGATGTTTCTAAGCAGAAAAAGATGTTTCTAAATCCAATTGAGGTTCAAAACTTGAACTTGACTGCAGCAGCAAATGCATTTTATGTTTGGTAATCCTTTTCCTTATAATCGCTCCACAGGATGGAACTGCTTTGCTGGAAGCAAAACTGAAAATAACATTTTCCCCCCTTTCCTCAAATGTGTAGCTAAATGCCTATTTGGTCATCAGCTAATGCTCAGATTGCTTTCCTTTTTTTCTGTTTGTCTTAGTATTTTGTAAATAACCAATTTTGTTTGTTCAGTTTACCTACATTTTCTTCTAGTTTATTTTTACTAAGCAGTGGCTTACTTTTCAAATGACATTAAATATGGAGAAAATTCAGAAGATGAACAAAACACACAAAACGCATCCAAAGTAAATGGGTGCTGCAAACTATATTTGCATGTGTTCTCCAGTGCTTTATCTATTTCAAAAATCGCAATAAAATTGTATCAATAACAGTCATCATGGGCTTTAATTCATTTTAAGCATTCCCAATATGTCTGTGTTGGAGTATCACAATAGCCAATTAAAAGCCATTTGACTGTCAGAACTAATTCCTGTATTTCTTTGTTTCTTTCAGCATAAAAGTGAGTTTTCATCTCAGCAAGGTCTGGGACATGCTGCAGTCTACAATGTGAACCGCTTTCGAATCTTAGAGGAAAAAAACAGGGCACTAAAGCAGGAAGTGGTCGCACTCCGCCAAGAGAAGCAACATTATCGAAGAGTGGTATGTTTTTTCTTCTCAGTATACATAGACAATTTGGCCTGGCACTACTCATGTTAATTAAGATGTCCTATCAGGAAAAGTTACTAAAATACAATTTTACTAGCTAAAATCAAGGTTATAACATAACCTTGATTTAAACTTCTCTACAGCTTTCCATCTGACTTGTCTGATGTGTTACTTGTTCTTCATGTTGAAGCTTGCTTATAAATGTTCTCCTACAAAATTCCAAGACCTTCAAAAAACAGCTCTACCATTCCTGATATGTATATACACACTGTTGGAGTGTGTAAAAGTAGGGTGAACATAAATGTAGAACACACTTTTCAGACTTTTATTTATAAAAAGCCAAACAACAAAACAATGTGTTCTGTTATTTCCCTTTACCTAATAATTATGTATTTGTTTGTTTTGGCTTATTACATAGATCCCCTGAAAATACATAAAAGTTTTTGTTTGACAAAATAGAAAATAGGAATGAAAACCTTTCCAAAACACTGTACGTTTGCTCTGCTTTTGGGGCAGCTTTACTCACAGACTGCATCATTCTCATTTATGCAAAGCCAGACTCAGCTGTGGATCAGTTAGGCTGAGGGAAACTGATGTCGGAGCAAGTTTATTCTAACATATTTTCCTAAGAAGATTTGGTCTGTGGGCTTTAACTTTTTGGAATGCATTTAAAGAAAATGACAAATATGTAGATATTGGCTGTTTTATGCTATTTTTTTTTAACATTCCATCCATTGCTATCCTCGCGAGGTAACAAGGAATTTGGTCCCTTACTCCAGTGCTAACTGTTAGAGAGGTGAGATACGTTCTGAACAAGTGGCCAAAGTGTTAACTTATCAGAACCCATGCTTACATCATGAGAAAATGCAAACTCCATGCAGAAAGACTTGTGTTCTGCTATCATTTTTAGGAAAAAAAAAAAACAAAACAAAACATATGCAAATACAATACACAATATGTCAAAATACCAATGCAGTTGATTGATTCAGAACAATCAGGAAGGTTTCTTCGTAAATCAAAGACTATCGCCCAAATGTGTTTGTTCTAAATGCAGCCCAGTTCATCTGATCGCCTACACATTATACAGATGTTTTAAACCTTTAGACTTGTTGCATGGAAACAGTCTGAAATGGAAACGTACCTCAGGTGAGGAATGACCTTCTGTGTGTTGTGTGGCTCCTGCTAAAAGGCCACAGCTGTCTCCCTGGACACTATTTCTATGGCAACAATTATGCATTGCCAGCAGCTGGTTCGCTCAGATGATGGGCCTCATGATGAAACGGGCTGTCCCGGTGAAAAGGAGTCCCACATCCAATAAATAATCTCTAATAGTGTTGTCTTATTCAACCCCACAACCTGCATTTAGGCTCTTCTGATCAAAAAGGTATTGTCACACCAGGGTTAATAATAGCACAGAAAAATGTTAATTAGCCTATTTAGAACTCAGTTGGATACTAACACCACCCACAGAAATACAGTTTGCTTTCACTAACGAGCCAGTTTTTTTTTTTTTTCCACCTGTTTTAAAAGGAAATAATTTTGGCTTGGCTTTATATTCCCTTCTTGATTAAATTTATTCCTGGAAATGTTTTTTTTTTTAGATGTTCTTTATAACTTAATCATGCTCAGTCCATTGCCCACTCCATCTGTTGTCTTGTTACTAAAGCACACAAGCTTTTGGCTTTAGAAGAAGTGGTAAAAACAACAACAAAGTAAAACAAAAAAAAAAACAAAAAACACCAAAACCCTGTTCTTGGTTTAAAAAAGGTCAGAAGTGTGTATTAACTTGCAGGTTAATTTAAATTCTGTATGACACAGATACATTAAAAGGTTTAATTTTGGATCTGCTTTCACTTCTTGTTTCCACTGCTGCCATATCATCAGTAAAATTTCAGTAGTTTAATGTATGTGCCTGCTATCCACTGCACACTGCCAGTCCTGTCTTTTGCATCTCACTTTTCTGTGGTTGATTGTGCTCACTGACCTGGCCTGTGTTGCTTCATGTCTGTAATCACTAAAGCAGATGTGATGGACATCTGAGAGAGATCTAGTTGTGATTGAATTTAGATTATTTTTAGATATCAGATCATACATAAACAAGTTTCTTCCTCATCCACAGTTTTATAAAGTAAAGCAAATGTATTTATGATCTTGGAATGTCTCAAAATTTATCTAAATTATCACCACAAAAGTCAATATATCTTTATTAAGATTTCATTTGATAGAGCATTACATCTAGTCTGCATTCAGAGTAGCTGAGTCACTTCTTTGTTGAATTGACAAAATTAGAGAATACCTAATTTTGGCATTAATTCTGTTTTGGATTTATGATTCTTGATCAGATATTTCTCATATGAGATTTAATAAAATATATAATCAATAGTAAACAGACAAATTGATATGGCAGAAACAAGGGAGCAAACACAAATTTCTATACTAATTGATCTAAAAGTTGTTTCATGACAAGTAAATGCAGGGAAGATGTTTTCAAAGTTTTACATTATTAGTCATAGGATTGCTTTGACTTGAAGTTAGGTTGGATTTATATTTATATATTAAAAAAAACAGTTGTTAAACCTCATAATGCCTTATATAGTGTCTCTTTGAGCTACGGTTTCTAAAAAGAAAAAATATATCAGGGAAAATTAGCTGAATTGTTAGTAATTTTCCAGAACAATAGACAATGATTACATAAGCACTAAGTGTTGGTTTAATTTCAAAATGCCAGTACACGGCATCTTTAAAGAGGCTGAATTCCATACCTTTAAAGCTAAAACTAAACATGTTGTATTACAAGGCAGACGTGCTAAAATGTGGCAGTGTCAAAATGTAGGGCCCTCTTGGATTAATTTTAAATCCTTTTAACCGGATTAAATCATTTTAAGGGGGCAGCTGCAATTTAACCACACTCGCACATACATGAAAAAATATGCATGAGTCACTGCATATAAGCTGATGTCAGTATGATATAATTACTCACTCTGACAAAGCAGTGTGGGCAGTGTGGTAGCAAGTGTGTGCCATGTTGTAGTTATTGACTAAAATCTGTGAAATTGTGAAGTTACACTTAGAAAAGAATAATTCCACTTCACAATTTGCCCTTGTGGTGTAACATGTTGTTTTAGAATGAAAACAAAAGTTTATTGTGCTTTTTAGCTTTATAAATTGCCCCAAAATAAATTTTACTATATTGTAAATATGTAGATATAATATGACACTGTATAAACAGAAAGTTCTGTTATTTGGTAATGAACATGTGCTTTTAATAATAATAATAATAATAATAATAATAATAATAAGACATTATATAATTCCATCTGGTTTATAATGGTGAAAAATATTGCACTGATTTGTAAACTTAGAATCTACACCAGGTTCAAGTGTAATATGGGTGCCATGTCATGACATTTGTCCTTTCACAGATTTCTTCTGTTTTTGTCTTTTGGTTCAGACAATCAAACTTTTTCTCACATCACATGAAATATCTTTTAGTAAATAAACTCAATTTATGGGAAGATTTGGATTTTTTAAGAATATGGTCTTTCATTTTTGACCCAATAGTGAACAGCCTGTTCAGTCTGAACAGTCTTTTCAATGTCTGCTCTATTTTTGATTTTTACTCATGTTTTTGCTTTTTGAAGCTCTGCTTACAACTAGATCACAGTAGAGCAGGTCCAGATATTTTACTATGTTATTCACTTTGATTATTTGTCCTACCAAGGTGAGTCTCTAATTAGTGCAGTGCAATCTTCCGCATACTCAGTCTGAGACAAATAAAGTTCTCACTGTCCCATTGCAACAATAGTTACAAAGCAGATATGGACATTTTTTGGCAGTATCTCCTATGATCAGCAAATAACATCTCTGAAAGTTGCAACTTTCCTGTTATTGAATCAAAAAGCTGTGATAACCTGATTTGGGCTGAGATTACATAAATTACACTCCAGTATCAAAACCTCAGAAAGGCAATGCTGGTTCAGCATGAGCCAATCAAGTGGAAAGTAGAGAGACACTGGCAGGATCTACATTCCACACTCTTAAAATTCAGAAATATGTCTTAATTTACATATCTATAGTTTCTTTATTGATGGTGTCTATTTATGCTCTATCTTTAGAATCGAAGGGTAAGAAGTTTTAGATGTTGCAAAACAAATTTTAAAAACTTGCCAGTTAAGTCAGAACAAGTTATGATTATCTACGTTGTTAAGTATGAATCTCAGTTAAAAGCCAAAATGTCATCTGTCAACAGCAATTTAAATGAATGGGGAAGACAAGAAAGAGAGCAGAAAATTTTAGCTCTACCTGGCAGTACACCTCCAACGTCCCATCTATTGCATTTAATAAAGTATTAGCACCCTTAAAGATTAGTTCTGCTTTTGTTTTTCGTTACACATGTGTAAATTTGGAAAATAAATTTCAAAGATAATTTGAGCAAATTCAAAATGCTATTTTAAATGATAATTTTATTAACATAGAATCTCATAGTGATTGCTACTAAGCCCACCCCAAACATTTATCAGGTTCTGGGGCAATTACTTTTCCTCATTGGGCCAGGTTGATTTGGTTAAGTTTTCTTTTTCTTTTACTGTAATAAATAAAATCATCACTTGAAAACTCTCTTTTTATACATTATTGTTGTCTGACATAGCAATTTGTTTGATTATCTAAAACATTTAAGTGTGTCAAAAAAAGAAGAGATAGAATAAGTCTGTAAGGAGACAAGTCCTTTTTCATTACACTGTACACTGTCCAGATTTTCAGATCTCTTTGATACCTTTACATGTAGCTGAGGCTCTCTGATGTCACTGATGCTTGTGACAGTGGAGAGAGCTGATTAATTCAGTTGAGTGGATTTACGCAGCTTTCTATACATTGTTCGAAAGAGAAAGGAGGAAAGTGAGCAGAGGAGGGAGAAAGCTTGTAGAAGATGATTAAGGAAGGGTGTTAAGGGGGAGGGTCTTTGGGGGTGGGGAGATAGTGAAAGCAAAGAGAGGATAGGAAAAGAGTGTGTGGAGAGGAGGCGGAGGAAAAGGAGAGAGAGAGAGAACCCAGAGCTGCTGCTGCTGCTGATGCTGCTGCTGCTGCAGCCGTTTGACAATTCCCCACCCATACAGAGCACGGAAGAAGGGAAGAGACTACAGCAAGGAGGAAGGAGGGAGCGACTCCTCAGTGAAGATGCTCCTGTGCTAGCCAGCACACAACTAAATACAAACCTCTTTGGTGCTGCTGTTTGTCTCTGCATCATTGTGCTCTAGTGTGTTTGTCTTAGATCTAGCTCTGTTGAGTCCTAAATATAGTGCACAGGGTTAGCATAGCAAGCAGCTGGGGAAAACCTGTGTGTGCAGTAGCTGCAGGAGACAGATGTGCACAGTGAGGTGGAAAGGAGAGGAGGATTTGCACATTTTGTCTTTTCTCTGGGCTAAATGAAGAGAAGCAACATCCCAGCTTTGCTGTTTCTTGACTGAAGCCGAGCCACCTGTTTCGGAGATGTGTGGGTGTGTGCGGAGTGTGTGCGTGTGTGTGTTGGAGGGATGAGGGGTGGGGTTGTAGTGTATGAGTCAATTGGGTTAGTGTATTTTTTTGGCTAATGCTTGAGTCTGCTGAGATTTCTTATACACTGTAGATTAATGAAGCATTTTTGTGAGTGACAATGAGCGATAATGTTTTTTCATCAGTAAAATCCTGATGCAAAAGCTGACATGATCATTTAGGGATGCAGAGAGAAAGACAAATGTTTGATGCTTACTCAAACAAATTGATGTAGTGTGTCTGTGTGTGCTTAGGTGTTATTGGTGCTGGTAACTTGAGCTTTTCCTGGTTTCTGACTACTAAAGGGTTGTCAGGTGCTGGTGTTGAACATTAACCCACTCAGTACTGTGGGTTAATGTTCCCCCCGCCCTTTGGAGTTTTGTGTGTGGGCTGCACATGACACTTCAGGTATACTCTGACCAGCTAAATCTTTCACATCCAATAGAATGATGGCAATCAATTCAGTACAGTTTTCACATTTTGCTGAAACTGATTTAAAGGAGTGTTGACTCAGCTGCATGTCATTTTGAAGGATTGCATTGTTTGTATTTTGAAACATTCGGGTTTCGGCAAACAAATGAAACATTTTTCTATGAGAACATTTTTTCGTACTAGATGTCTTGTCGCTT